ACTGATATGCTCGTCCTTCGGACGCGAACCACAGCAATGGTCTGTACGCACCCTTCAGGTCGACCGCTGCAAACCAATCTCGAGGACGGATGCACCCGAAGATGCGTTCCTGCGTCAACATCTTGAACGGTAACCGGTGAAGGGCCCGGTTCAAGACACGCCTAAAATTGGTTGTAACCCACCACCTTTCTTGGGTACAATGAAGTAGGAGCTGTAAACACCGTCTTCATATCGACTGGAGGGACCGGCTCTATCGCATCCTTCGCCAGTAGGACTGCGACCTCTGCCTGCAAGACAGGACCATCGGCCGCCTTCACTGTTGTGAAGCGGATGCCACTGAACTTAGGGGTACGCCGGGCGACTGAATCGCATCAAGCCAGGCTCCCAGACACCACACAAGTGGCATCAACGGAACTACAGGCATACCCGCAGTGGGGCAGCGCAGAAGAACGCAGGGACCCAGCCTGGGCGTCTCGTAGCCGGTCCGAGGCGTCGACACGGGAAACCACCACCGCTGAAGCGCCGTACCGCCAACACGAAGAGCTCTCCAAGAGCGCGCTGAACTCGTTCAGTCTTCTTCTCTCAGTAGAGTAGTCAGGAGCAGAATGATGTGATCGCTCGGCTCCAAAGCGAAAAGCTGAATATGCGATGCATCTGCTGCCTACTTATACTCACGCTGTGATCAGCGGCAGCTGGATGCAATAATCGCATGCCAATGTGAATTGGCTCATTTAGTTTACACTCGAAGTAGATTGGTCTCTCTAAGCGAGATACCAATTTCGTCGGTCATCCGACGTGACGTCGAGAGTGACCGACTGAAAGGGAACAGTATGTTACAAAAAATTATATTTTAAATGAATGCTGTTTTATTTATCAAAGAATCTTTTCTTGAATTGTATTAAGATTTTACAACATTACTGTTTCAAATATTTCAAATAAGAGACTTCTTTCAAAAAGAATATACATTAAAGCAAATATAACCAATATAGCTCCTTGTGTATCTCCCCAATTTGTCAATTGCCAAATTTAAGTTCATATGAGAATAAAAACAGCATTTTAACAAATATTGGTTGGTATTAGGGGAAATAGCTGACTAATACCATAAGTCTATATAAGCACAATAACAACCAATTATGATTACATTGGTCCCTCTGTAACCATAGAAATAACATTTTATTGGTTCTGCTATACTGCATTAGACTGCATTAGACTATTAGACTGTCTGTCTATACAGTAAGTATGTGCTCTCTGTTTATGTAGACTCTAGAATTTCTCACAAACTTAGCTAGAACTAAGTTTTAAAATTTTGTGGTATCACTCTAGTAGTTTGAAAATTGCTGTCAAATGCCAAACGTGCCTTTATTTGACAGCCTGCCACCACATCAAAAAATAATTTTTTTTTAATAAAAACATAGCTTATCACAGAACAACATAACCTTTTAAACCTAATTGAGTGGTTTTCAAATAAGCAACCCCAGTAAAAGATTTTTTAGTATATATGAAAAACCTTTCTCATCAGTAATTTTCAAACCCTTATTCCCCATTTGGACCAGTAGCATGGAGCTTGTTTCTCTTGACTAACCATACGCATCCACACAAAGCTTTAGGAGGAACAGCAGGTCAAATCAGCGGGCTTTAAACAGGCCGTTCTAGGCTGTCCATGGGTTATGATACGATAAACTGCTGAGGAGGCCTTGAAGTCTATCCAATTAAAAGGGGATACAGAATCCTGACTTCAAGGACCAAAAGCAATTACTAATTCTGACAGTAGCCTATTTATTATTAGATCCACATTCATTCCCCTCATGCTTTTTCTTCCTGCCTTCATTTAACTCATGAAATACAACTATAAGCTACTTTATCATAGACAGGTGATATATATTTGCAAATGTTTCTGTCATAGGTTTGGAATTCATGCTGCTGTCACGGGCTTGGTGGGTATTGTTTCTTTGTTTCCAGGCGTCTTTGATTTAGTTTCTTTAAATATCTGTTATTTTAGAGTTTAGTGTCCTTGTTCTAGTCTAGTCTAGTCCTTTTTCATTTACTCCCCAGAAATTAATTTTGTTTCATCATCAGTTTTTCTTAGGTTGTCATTGTATCTTTTGTCATGTCTCATTCTGGCTGTTGGTGAGTAGTTCTTCCTCATGCTTTCTTGTTCCTGGATTCTTGTGGTTTTAAGTAAATGCTGCATTTAGATCCTAATTCTTGCGACTCATATAACAACCGTATCTTTAGGTTTTCTGTTGATATTCAGTTAATTTACAATACAGCCTTATATAGCAAAAGGAATATGATAAAATATTGGCTATGTAAAATGTAAACCCATGGCAAGACAATCACAAAATATACATACATACATACAGTATACAATATTATATATTTAGAATATGTGTGTGTATACAGCACACTTCTTTAGTGTTTAAGTGACTATCAGCTTCATGCAATTCTTATGTTTTGCAGAATATTAATGATATGCAAACAAACTTCATGTTCACAATATTGGAACATTTCTTTCAAATGAACAAATACGAATGAGAAAGTTTGATTGAGTCTGTTGACAATAGCTTTGCCTTTTAATTGTGCCTAATGTATAAAGATGCAGATCTCCTAAAACCCCTCCACAGGGATAATAATGGAATGTTTCTTAAAAAAAAAAAAATCACCAGGCAATATAAAACAAGACAGACCTCACAAAGGAACCGGTGCCAGACAGTATATCTTACAAATAAAAGGAATATGATAAAATATTGGCTATGTAAAATGTAAACCCATGGCAAGACAATCACAAAATATACATACATACATACAGTATACAATATTATATATTTAGAATATGTGTGTGTATACAGCACACTTCTTTAGTGTTTAAGTGACTATCAGCTTCATGCAATTCTTATGTTTTGCAGAATATTAATGATATGCAAACAAACTTCATGTTCACAATATTGGAACATTTCTTTCAAATGAACAAATACGAATGAGAAAGTTTGATTGAGTCTGTTGACAATAGCTTTGCCTTTTTATTGTGCCTAATGTATAAAGATGCAGATCTCCTAAAACCCCTCCACAGGGATAATAATGGAATGTTTCTTAAAAAAAAAAATCACCAGGCAATATAAAACAAGACAGACCTCACAAAGGAACCGGTGCCAGACAGTATATCTTACAAATCACCTAGCTTCAGAGTCTATTCAAACACACATACAATTGATCAAAGCGATTGTACTCCATGGAAACTTCTTCTTCTTCTTCTTTTCAGTCTTCTAATGTGTGGCATTCAGGGCTGTATAAAGGTGTCTTTGAATACTGCTGTAGAGCTACATGTGAGTGGGGCAAGTGATAACCAGAGAATAGAGGGTATAAACAAATAAAGTCATAGCCACATGAGTGACATTTAAGCTCGATATGACAGTGGTTCTCACCATCTCTGCGGGAATTTTATATTCAATTAGACTCTGCATGTTTGAAAAACTTCCAGTAAATGTCAAAAAGTAAATAAGGTGGGAAGCCGTGCACCATGATTCCCTTGAAGACGGAGATTTGGAGTCACAGGCTACTTTGAAAGGAATAATGGGGCTTATGCTCTCAGCTCGTTTCCAGGTCACTGGAACATTGAGAATCGGCACAGACCAGCCCCACTGCTTTACCCTGAGCCTGAGCCTTTGTGGACACATGACTTTCATAAACCTTAAAAAAACATCTTCAAAGCTTTTTTAATGTACTACTGTTTGAGTAGAAATCAGGTGTTAGTTGTCACATGCTGTACTCTAGTGAATATTTCTCCTTGTGGGTTTATTTCTGAAGGTCATTTGCTTTTATTTATTGTGTAAAATAAATGTATTTATTTATTTATTTTAATTGTGCACTGGACATAGTTTGAATAGACACATTTTGGGGTTAAGGCTAAATGGCATACAGCAAAAACTACTGGGCATGCGCACATCAATATAGCATAATTTTTCTCATACTGTACAACAATATTTACTATTTTTTCATTATTGTAAGGGGTAGGTTTAGGGTTGGGGTAAAGTAGACGTTAATAAAACACAATCTAATAGGTAGAAAATTCAATTCATTGTTAGCTTCCGGTTTTTGCTTAATAACTTCTAGCCACAACCACATTTTGGTGAAACAAATGTAGAAATAAATGTGTGTCTTCTTGAAACACAGTGGATTAGACGTGCACGCCCATCAGTCGTTTTTGTGCAGTTTCTACCTGGCCTGACTGACAGGACAAACAGGAAGTAGGAGACTTCCAGGTTACTGGATTCAGTGTTTTAAGGACACAGCCAAAATGCACACGGGGAAAATGGTGCAGAGCACGGTTAAATACAAAGTACTTGCAAGCGATGTGCAAGATGAAATCGACAACGTTTGCACTGACGATGAGGACGATGAAATTACGATAGATTTCCACTCGTAAGTGACAAAATGAAAGTAACATTTGCTTGACGTCTGCTACGCAAGTTAATTGTCATTTCAAAACAATCTGCTTTAATGTTAAGTGCATTTGCTCTTATGTCGTGGCTGCTTTCAGTGATGTTGGCGCGACAACAGGTGCTCAATCTACTCTGCTATGGACGCGACGCGACAAGACCGCCTGCAGTGCACACACACTTGACTGTAATGGGATCTTTCAAGTTTTGGCCGTCGCGTCGCTATCAGTGTAGAAGTGTTCCGATATAAATATTCTCAGTAGTATGCCGTTTATAGATATTCTTGCTAGTGAAGAGTTGCGATCGATTTCCTTTACTAATTTAATAAATCATTATTTAACTGCTTTTTACCTAGGGTGACCATACGTGCCCTTTTCCACACGTCCTGGCCAGGATTTCTATATTGTTTAAAATATTCAGGGTTTGGCTTTGATTGCGCTGCGCAGACCGATCGGTGTATGACATAAAAAATCAGACGCTCCTGCAATCCGTGTATCATTCGATCATTCGTTTTTTTATTTAATATTGAAAGTAGAAAAATGAGAAAACGGCTCCTTTTTCGTTTTTTCGTTTTTTTTTCCAAAAAACGAAAAACAGAATTCAGCTTAAATTTTCGTTTTTCGTTCATGGGTGGAAAAATGAATAAACAGCTTGAATATTTGATTTCTACATGTGGACGGGAATTAAACGCCCCTTTCTGCTGATTGGTCAGCCGAAGATCAAACCGTGCTGTCATCAGTTCTTCTGCAGCAAAATAATAGTCCTCCACTGCTGCAGTTGTATGGATTCTTAATGCATTTATTGCAACTACATTTAATATTTTTTCATCAAACAAACAGTCAAATGAATAGCTCGACCTGTCTAGACTCTGCCCCGGTACTAGTTGTGTCGAGCTATTCATTAGTCTGTTTGATGAGAAAATTATGAAATTGATCAAATGGGTTATTCATCCGTACAACTGCAGCAGTGGAGGACTATTATTCTGCTGCGTGATACTGCAGAAGAACTGATGATGGCACGGTTTGATCTTCGGCTGACCAATCAGCAGAAAGGGACGTTTAATTCCTGCCCACATGTAGAAATCTAATATTCAAGCTGTTTATTCATTTTTCCACCCATGAATGAAAAACGTAAATTTAAGCTGAATTCTCGTTTTTCGTTTTTTTGGAAAAAAAACTAAAAAGTTAAAAAGGAGCCATTTTCAAAATTTTCTACTTTCAATATTAAATCAAAAAACGAATGATCAAATGATACACGGATTTCCTGCTTTAGTGTTGGGTCGTTCTTGAACGATTCGTTCATTTTGAACGAATCTTTAATGTGACTCGGGAAGAACGAGTCGTCTCGGGGAGTGATTCGTTCAGTCGCGCATCCGCAACATCCTATAGGTTCTGTTTCGAGTCTTCGGGTTTTTCGAGTCATTCGTTCATCACGTGACAGCCCCATAAGCTTTAACCAATGCAGTCTGAGCCGGAAAGAGAATTGATTAGTTCATCTCTCGAGTCTTCGGGTTTTTCCGAGTCATTCTTTTCTGTTCCTTATAGCAGTTTTGTATTGTTTGTAGTGTTATCAACGTCTGTGTAAGTAGTAGATGTGTTAGGGAAGTAACACGTAACATTTGAATTATATTTTGTTAAAATTAACGAAATGACTCGAAAAAAGATTTGTTCATTTTGCTGAATGAGACTCAAAGGTCCGAGTCGGTAAAATGATCCGAACTTCCCATCACTATCCTGCTTTCAAATCGCTCTCGCAGTATTTTGATGTCACACTACGCTCGGTCTGCCCAGCGCCGCTTCAAGTCGAACCAGGGGCCAGTTGCATAAAGTCACAATGTTAAGACTGTGTCTTAAAAACTAGTTTGACTAGTTTCTAGCAGTTAACCAAGTGGTAATCAATCTTAATTTTCAGATTCAAATTAGACCAATATACCATTTTAAGTAACCAAATTTAAGACGTCTTTAAAGGCACAATATGTAATTTTTTGCGACTAGAGGGCAGAAATCATGTTCATGGATGAGCTAATGTATTAAAGATTTATTAACGTCGTAGTAGGGCTGTGCAAAAAATCGAATGCGATTTTCATGCGCATCTCGTCAGTAAAGCTGCTTCTGGTGATTAGTAGTAAATCTCCAGCACGTGCTTTCAGATGGAGCATCATTTACTACACAGAGCCGTAGATTTTGAACATGATTTTGTGTAGCTTGTCAGTGATCTATGGCTCTGTGTAGTAAAGCAGAGTGAGGCGGTAAGCCGTCGAAGCAAAACGAGGGCTCTGAACAAGCGCGACACATGGCTCGAAAGCAGCGGAGCTTTTACTATGCCACAGTTGACCGCTTCTGCTCTTTCCGGAAAGCAGCGGAAGTAAGCAGCGCTGTTTTATTATACTAGATACATGAACATTCTGTTATAATGCTACTCTGTGCGGTCATCACCTGTCTAATAAAATGCATAGCATATTAAAGCATCTTTGGTGTTTCCATGTTTTCTACAAAACAAAACCGGAAATCGAGGGTGTATGACGTAATTGGCAGCCGACACAATGACACTATGGACACGATCCGTGTCACTAGTTAAAATTGCTTATTTCTCTGGATTTAACCATTCTTCTAAACATTTGGGATAATGTTAGTACACAAGTCAACAAAATATATAAAACTGTTCTAGTGGTTTTTGGATATTTTAATTAAAAAATCGTACATATTGTGCCTTTAAGACGTCTACGAGTCTTGAAGAAAAAAAATGGATGACTAACTTTTAAGACTAGTCTAAGCAGTTTATGCAACTGGCCACATATTCATGATGCATTTGGATGCTAAACTCAGTGGCGTAACTTTGTTTTAAAAAGTGTGTGGGACAGGAGTGAGTGAGTATGCGAATGTGAGTGTGTGTGGGGTGGGGCGATAATGTGTCAACTTGCCCCTCTTTGCCATCTTTAGCTTTTTTGCAATTTGCATCTGCATTCAGATTGAAGAAGTGATAGCAAATGCTGCTTATTTTTATGTGCGTCTGAACACGGGCACATGAATGTGATATGAACAACATGAACAGAATTTTCACTTTTGGGTGAACTATTTGGTGTCCAACTGTGCATTGTATTCTTGTTATCAGCTACCAGAGTAAAGTGATAAGCTGACTGCTGATATACTGAGACTGCATTAAAGAAAAGCAAAATTTCCTTTATATTTGTGCTTTGTAAATTCTGCCCCTCCAGACTCCACATTCTTATTGTTCTTACAATATACAGGCCCTTCATCGGTCAGCAAAGAAGGACAAGGAAAAGAGACACCTGTGTCAGGGTCACAGTGGCTGTGATTCTTCTGGGAATTGTTTTCGGATTTATGATCTATGAGTGGAATGGCTATTGGCCTGGAGTTGAGGAGCGTCAGGACCTGTCAAATCATCAAGAGGCTAACAAGACACACAAGATTTCTGAGGATGAAGATCACGACCACCACCAACATCATCAAGATGATGGTGACCACAATGACCATGACCACAACCACAAAGACGGACATGATCATGATGATCATGCTCTTGATCATCATGATCACAATCATGATAGTCACACTCATGAGCACAGTCAATCACTGTACCACAATGCTGCTATCATCACAGACTCAGGCAAGACTTGCAGCAAAATAATAGTCCTCCACTGCTGCAGTTGTATGGATTCTTAATGCATTTATTGCTTAATATTTTAATATTTTTTCATCAAACAAACAGTCAAATGAATAGCTCGACCTGTCTAGACTCTGCCCCGGTACTAGTGCTATTCATTTATTCATTAGTCTGTTTGATGAGAAAATTATGAAATTGATCAAATGGGTTATTCATCCGTACAACTGCAGCAGTGGAGGACTATTATTCTGCTGCGTGATACTGCAGAAGAACTGATGATGGCACGGTTTGATCTTCGGCTGACCAATCAGCAGAAAGGGACGTTTAATTCCTGCCCACATGTAGAAATCTAATATTCAAGCTGTTTATTCATTTTTCCACCCATGAATGAAAAACGTAAATTTAAGCTGAATTCTCGTTTTTCGTTTTTTTGGAAAAAAAACTAAAAAGTTAAAAAGGAGCCATTTTCAAAATTTTCTACTTTCAATATTAAATCAAAAAACGAATGATCAAATGATACACGGATTTCCTGCTTTAGTGTTGGGTCGTTCTTGAACGATTCGTTCATTTTGAACGAATCTTTAATGTGACTCGGGAAGAACGAGTCGTCTTCTTTCTATTCTTCGGGTTGGAGTCGTTCCTTCACCACGTGCCAGCCCCATAACCTTAACCAATGCAGTCTGAGCCGGAAAGAGAATTGATTAGTTCATCTCTCGAGTCTTCGGGTTTTTCCGAGTCATTCTTTTCTGTTCCTTATAGCAGTTTTGTATTGTTTGTAGTGTTATCAACGTCTGTGTAAGTAGTAGATGTGTTAGGGAAGTAACACGTAACATTTGAATTATATTTTGTTAAAATTAACGAAATGACTCGAAAAAAGATTTGTTCATTTTGCTGAATGAGACTCAAAGGTCCGAGTCGGTAAAATGATCCGAACTTCCCATCACTATCCTGCTTTCAAATCGCTCTCGCAGTATTTTGATGTCACACTACGCTCGGTCTGCCCAGCGCCGCTTCAAGTCGAACCAGGGGCCAGTTGCATAAAGTCACAATGTTAAGACTGTGTCTTAAAAACTAGTTTGACTAGTTTCTAGCAGTTAACCAAGTGGTAATCAATCTTAATTTTCAGATTCAAATTAGACCAATATACCATTTTAAGTAACCAAATTTAAGACGTCTTTAAAGGCACAATATGTAATTTTTTGCGACTAGAGGGCAGAAATCATGTTCATGGATGAGCTAATGTATTAAAGATTTATTAACGTCGTAGTAGGGCTGTGCAAAAAATCGAATGCGATTTTCATGCGCATCTCGTCAGTAAAGCTGCTTCTGGTGATTAGTAGTAAATCTCCAGCACGTGCTTTCAGATGGAGCATCATTTACTACACAGAGCCGTAGATTTTGAACATGATTTTGTGTAGCTTGTCAGTGATCTATGGCTCTGTGTAGTAAAGCAGAGTGAGGCGGTAAGCCGTCGAAGCAAAACGAGGGCTCTGAACAAGCGCGACACATGGCTCGAAAGCAGCGGAGCTTTTACTATGCCACAGTTGACCGCTTCTGCTCTTTCCGGAAAGCAGCGGAAGTAAGCAGCGCTGTTTTATTATACTAGATACATGAACATTCTGTTATAATGCTACTCTGTGCGGTCATCACCTGTCTAATAAAATGCATAGCATATTAAAGCATCTTTGGTGTTTCCATGTTTTCTACAAAACAAAACCGGAAATCGAGGGTGTATGACGTAATTGGCAGCCGACACAATGACACTATGGACACGATCCGTGTCACTAGTTAAAATTGCTTATTTCTCTGGATTTAACCATTCTTCTAAACATTTGGGATAATGTTAGTACACAAGTCAACAAAATATATAAAACTGTTCTAGTGGTTTTTGGATATTTTAATTAAAAAATCGTACATATTGTGCCTTTAAGACGTCTACGAGTCTTGAAGAAAAAAAATGGATGACTAACTTTTAAGACTAGTCTAAGCAGTTTATGCAACTGGCCACATATTCATGATGCATTTGGATGCTAAACTCAGTGGCGTAACTTTGTTTTAAAAAGTGTGTGGGACAGGAGTGAGTGAGTATGCGAATGTGAGTGTGTGTGGGGTGGGGCGATAATGTGTCAACTTGCCCCTCTTTGCCATCTTTAGCTTTTTTGCAATTTGCATCTGCATTCAGATTGAAGAAGTGATAGCAAATGCTGCTTATTTTTATGTGCGTCTGAACACGGGCACATGAATGTGATATGAACAACATGAACAGAATTTTCACTTTTGGGTGAACTATTTGGTGTCCAACTGTGCATTGTATTCTTGTTATCAGCTACCAGAGTAAAGTGATAAGCTGACTGCTGATATACTGAGACTGCATTAAAGAAAAGCAAAATTTCCTTTATATTTGTGCTTTGTAAATTCTGCCCCTCCAGACTCCACATTCTTATTGTTCTTACAATATACAGGCCCTTCATCGGTCAGCAAAGAAGGACAAGGAAAAGAGACACCTGTGTCAGGGTCACAGTGGCTGTGATTCTTCTGGGAATTGTTTTCGGATTTATGATCTATGAGTGGAATGGCTATTGGCCTGGAGTTGAGGAGCGTCAGGACCTGTCAAATCATCAAGAGGCTAACAAGACACACAAGATTTCTGAGGATGAAGATCACGACCACCACCAACATCATCAAGATGATGGTGACCACAATGACCATGACCACAACCACAAAGACGGACATGATCATGATGATCATGCTCTTGATCATCATGATCACAATCATGATAGTCACACTCATGAGCACAGTCAATCACTGTACCACAATGCTGCTATCATCACAGACTCAGGCAAGACTCCTTTCATTAATTATTATTATACAAACCAAATCCGTAAATATGTATCAAACATATTTGAATGTCTCCTGTGTGCTTTCTTTTTTTATAGCAAACTGCTCCAGTATTGGTAAGGAGCTTCTTCAGGAGAGAGGGAATGTGGTCGATGCAGGGATTGCTGCTTTACTCTGCCTAGGAGTTGTTCATCCACACACCGCTGGATTAGGTCAGTATCAGGCACTTTTCATCACTTGACTTCTGCAAATAAAATGTTTCAGTGCCACAGTCTTGGTTGGTTAAAACAAGAAGAACAATTCTCAGTGCTGTAGTCGAAACCAGCCCGTTGGAGTTCGAGCCAAGACCGAGACCAAAAATTGTCAAGTCTGAGTCAAAAGTCCATGACAAGACCATGAAAATATGGTCTTGGTCTTGACTCAAACATAATCCTCTTCTGGTCTTGGTCTTGACTTGAACTTGAATGACTTGGTCTCGACTACAACACTGCTAGTGTTATTAACATTCATCATTGGTTTTGAGATTTATCATTGATTTTTAGCTCTTTCTGAAGCATGATGTAATTTTCTAAAATCTGTGGTTTTAATGTTTAATTTCCAATATTCAGTGTCATTCTCTAAAAATACCATGAGCAAGTTTTGTTGAAGTGTTATGCATTTAAAATGTTTTTAACAAGCGGTTTAAAAGTCTCTTTAGCTGTAGAATAATGTTTATGAAGGGTTATGGTAGAAATTAAGCATGGAAAAAGCCCATTTGTGATATAAAAAATCATTTGAGCAGTTTAGACTCAAATGCATAATGTTTGTTGTTAATATCTACAACTAATTAGCGCTGCATTTGCCTTTCAGAAGGTTGCTAAAAGCATAAACTACTTTTTGAGGCAGCTGATTTGATTCATTCGTGCTTCCCTTTTTTCAAGGTGGAGTGTTTTCTGCAATTTTGTACAATCACACTACAAGATCATTTAAAGCGATACGTGACACCTCTCAGCAGCTGTCTACATATGGTGCTCCCTCATTATTGCAGGGCCTTCAACTGCTGCATTCCAACTACGGACATTTAGAATGGAGTCGACTTTTTGAGGGTGCCACGAAAGTCGCTAAAGAGGGTTTCCTTATCGATGGAATCCTCTCCAGGGCTTTAGAAACCCACAAGGACAAAATACTCCAGTCAGGACTGTGTGATCTGTTCTGCGATGCGGCTGGCCATGTGAAATCAGAGGGTGAGCATGTCACCAACAGGAATCTATCAGACCTTTTGCGGAGCGTCAGCCTAAACAGCTCCCATTTCCCAGAAAATCTGGCCGTAAAATTGGCTCAAGACATTTCTGAAGCAGAGAGGCCAGCTTTCCTTGCTGCCGCTCAGGCCGGCAGCGGAGAAATCAATGATCCCCTTATCGTGGCAGAGGAGAAATACAGCATTCTTTCACCCCCCTACCAGCTCACAGGTGGAATGGTGTCCAATATATTAGATAGAGTCCGAGAGCAAAACCTCACTTTTCCGAGTCACGGAGATATCGGTAATGCCTTTGCCTCTTATAATGCCCTCCTAAATTTGGCGAATGAATTCTTCAACACAAGTCAGAGAGAGATATTCACATTAAATACCACAAGCAGTCATGTAGGAGTGCTCGATAGTCATGGCAATTTCATAGTAATCTCCACCTCGCTCAACAGCACATGGGGATCTGGGCAATACTTACCAAGTAGCGGAGTGATTCTCAATGACTTTACCTCAGACATCACTCAGGAGCCTTATTTTAGTTTTCCTCTAGTGCTAAATATAACTGAAGATGGTGCGGATGATCCTGTGGAGAAGCAGTTTGTGGCTGTGACCGGAGGGCTTTCTGCCCTGCTTCATTCTGTGGTTATGCTGAGAAACCTGGCTGACGTTGGACTGTCTGCTTATGAGACTGCGAGCAGCCCTATGCTCCATATAGAGCAGGGGGGTTCTGGGTCTCTGTCTGGCTGTATTTCTGGTGTCACAAACAGCTCTGTTGTCTTCCGGTTGCTTTCAGAGGGAGACGGGCCCGTACGGGAGGTGGGTGAATGTTCAGATTGCTTTCTGTCCATGCTGCTGCAACTGAGAGCAGAACATGTAAGAGCCTATGGAGTCCCTGCTACTGAGGTCCATGCTGATGGATACTAATGCAAAAAAAACAAAACAAAAACATCTGGACAGTTGTGACATATCATGTAAAATTATACTGTATGCACTTTAAGAGCATTGCACTCATACCCCACATGACTTACGTTATTTTCAGCCTCACAATACTGGGAATGACATGTATGTGAATGTAATTTTTGTTTGTGCTAAAAAATGTTTACTGGTGATTTAAAAGACAGCCTTTTTTGATAGTTTTTTTTAAGTAATACTTCACCTGTTTTTCCACAAGCAAGCTATATCCTAAATATTCTCTCCTTTTCAACTAGCAACTTGTTATCAAATGCCTTTCTGAGATGTCTTCATATTATTTGCTTGTTTAATCTTGTAAATCATAGCCTACAGACCCTAACAGGTTAATCGATTTGATGAACCTGACGAGTGAAGGACTGCCGCTTTATAAAATTGTTTTGAAAAGATCAGTTACCAACAAACACCTACAAATATTTTTATGTAGTTTTATACCTTTTTTGTGCTTGACTAGTATGTGTATGTGAAGGTTATTTGATGTAAGAATTATGTGAGTAGATGAATATATGTGAGATATTTATGATTTGTGGGACAAAAAGCTTAATTCTTTTGTTGTTTGTAAAACATAACTATTTTATGTGGCTGCAGTTTTCTATGAATTAGTACAATGTGAATCATATGGAAATTTATGATTTTTAGGGGGAAAAAGGGCCACTCCAATGAAATCCTATGAAAATGCATGAATGAGATTGAAATTCACCATCAATTTGGTTAAAAATAGTTACGAATTGCGATGATAGTGCGTTGTTTTTTATAGATCTGTTTTGTACAGAGTTCAGTTGGTGAATATTTTGTGCCGATGCAAAATATCTCACTGCTGCTGAAGCTGATTTTGTGATCGTTAAAAAAAATCTGGTGGTCTGTCTTCATTGTGCTAATTTGCTGCACTGTCAGTTTTGATTTAAGTTATTTTGTTGTTCCCCTCATCCTTTGCATTATGAAGCCAGGAATTATGGGAAGAATACATCAAGACTCCCCCATTTTTGTTTCAGAATCTTGCATTATTGCTTAAAGCTGGAGGGTGTACATTTTCTTATTTAAAATAATTTTCCTAGCCCAGCACATTACGTGTCAACTGTAAGACATTCATAAGTTAATTCTGGCCAAAAAAAAGTTTGAAGCTATGCTGCTTTTACAACTATTTGTTTGCACATCTCAACCAGCCCAACAGCAACATTGACTCAACCAGTGTGATTAGATTTGGGCCGGACCATCAGTTTATTCAACCAGTAAGGGGAGTGTCAGGAAACATGTTAGAATCATTTTTTGTTTCATCATCATTTTTGCAATTCCGTTTGATGACAGGAGGGGAATTATAGACTTTAATGTCTGCTAAAACCACTACTTTCTTTAACGTTACTACTGAAATAACAGCACACAAGGTGTGGAACGCACAAAATAGGGAAACCTACTATAAAATGCACTGATGCCAAAAATGCAAGCCTTGAATCACAATAAAATGTAAAATATGAATAGAAACACAATGAACATTTTATGTTTCACTGGTGAAACGTTTAAAATGATTTTATTCCTACTGTATGTCTCGAATTGATTGCATTAAACTGCTTTCCAGTTTTTCCAGAATGTTAGTCGTGTATCCTGTTCAACCACTATACTTCAGGTGTCTGAGTGGGTGTCAGGCTTAAGTGTTGCTCATTCTTTGGACTAATTCAATGCTGTCATTCTGCCCTCAGTGGCTGCAAACAAATTTATATGCTTATCTTAATTAAAACAGGTTACGCTGCTCCTCCCATTTGCAATGCTGCGTCCAGGCTGCTGTCAGTCCAGACCTCTGCTGAGCCACTTCCTTTGCAATACAGATACTCAGACATTTACTGAAAGCGCATGGATTAGATCATGGTTTTAATACCATGTTCTAATTTCACTGAAAATTGTGGCACAGTTAAAGGCCATTTTGTAAATCAAAAATGATTTTAAATGAGTGAAATAAATGGTTTTCATTAGCTCAGAGGTCTAACTTGTTACCTACTCGCCATCTCGAAACCACATCCAATCTCACCGCATCCCCCATCTCAGCGTGACATCTCTCATCCATTCCCATTTTGACTAGAAAAATTGTAAAAGATTGCTCCAACCCATGACAGAGCCTTAGCAAATGTGTTGTGTGTGGAGAAATGAGCATAGTGCCCATTGGCAAAAAGCTGCATACCAACACAAACCACTAAATCACACACTAAATCACACAAGAAAGTTTAGAGAAGACTTGATTTGTTTGTGGATTCTTTAAAAATCCTACAATGTGCTTTTCTGGATTTTTTTTTCTCATTTTGTCTCTCATAGTTGAGGTATACCTATGATGAAAATTACAGGCCTCTCTCATCTTTTTAAGTGGGAGAACTTGCACAATTGGTGGCTGACTAAATACTTTTTTGCCCCACTGTATATATATACATACAGTAAGTATGCTAGGGTTTGATAAAATAGATTATTGCAAAAACAATTGTAAGTACACTACTCTTCAAAGGTTTGGGGTCTTTTTATTTATTTATTATTATTGTATTTATTTCTTTTTTTCTTTTGGAAAGCAATTAATAATGTTATTTCAAATAAATGCAGCCTTGGTGAGCATGAAAGACTTCTTTGAAAACAAAAAAAAATCATATCAACCCCAAACCCTTTTGTTTGTTTCTGAGCGAATAAAAGTCATGACGGCCATAAATAATATTTTCTTTTCAGTAACTTTGCCCGTATTAGGACAATGACAGCAATGATTTAATTTCAGGCAGAATCACTGGATGTACTTTCAGTTAAGGGGTTACTTTGGTTAGCAAATTGCACAAATGTTTACTTTGGAGTACGATGATAAGTATTCATTAACAAGTAGCATGACACATGATTCATCCCTAGTCAAAGGCGGATATGATAGACGGATATTGAATCATTGTCTGACATCAAGACAGAAATTTTTTTTTTTTTTAATTTGTTCAAATTTTGAAAATTTTTCAAAAATGATCAATCTTGTTTAAGACTGATGAGTGATATGAAAGCACATGTGCAGGGCACAGAGCTAGTGTAGTCATCACATTAATGCAGATGGGAACATCCTACAGGCCAAAGGTAAATGTTCTTATAAGCATCCTCATAACAACTGACATACAGAGGGTGATGTCATGATATGAATTTAGGAGGAAATTATTTATTTAAAAATGGGGTTTTGAATCCCAGAGGCCCCTACTTGCGGTTTCTTCAACATATCGGAGGAAGACCGCACTCTGTGCCAATTTCAAGAAATAACACATTACTTTTACACAGCACCAAATAAAGAATCCGATTTGATTCCAAAAAAATAAAACGTTTATTTTCTTTATCATTAGCTTTTGCTTTAAAATGTCTCCCTCTGATCCTCGCTAGGTAAATACAACAGGAAATATGAGGTTATTTATCTGAGGTTTCATATTAAAACCTGGTCTTGGCAATGGACACTTTCCTGAACCATCTATAAATCGACAATCAGTTATGCTGCAAAGGCAATACAATGCAATCCAAAGTACAATCAGACATTCCACTGAAAACAACTATACTATACATGTACACATTGTGACTGGATCATAACTATACTTATATTTAAAAACTTTACAGTATCACATTTTTGTGTCTCAGTGCAAAAGATGTTTAGAAGGAAAACTAAAAAAAAGAGCAGTGCCCTTGATACATCCAGATATTATTCTTCCTTTGCATCCTCTAAACACAATAAAACATTTGGTCATTTGAGTGCCAGAAAACAATGAATAAATTACATGACACAATTTTTTTTATTTTACAGTCACTGTCAAGTAGCAGCAGAAAAATCAGCTCAGATGGTTTAAATAATGCACTAACAACAGTGCATCGGTGTACTGACACAAACCATTCCCAGATACTAACAATGCAAACGATATTATTAACGATAATAGTCATTCAAATAACAATGACAAAAAACGTTGACGTATATGTGTGTGTGTGTGTGTTTCGGTCAAAAGTTATTTACAGTGCATCAGTAAGTTCTCTGGCTTTGTTTTCCATGTTTTTATATTCCAAAGGAAGAAGAAGAAAGGCAAATAAAAGTCCATGGTGCCAAACATCATCAGCTGGTGCATATGCTGTTGATGGTAATGATTGCTGGGTCCACCAGTCCCATCTCCTCATGCTCGTTCACACAGAGCTGGTAGCCACAGCCTCGCCGCCGCTTCAGGGGAGTGACTTTAACGTCAGGTTTGGCACGAGGCGGCAGAAGGAAGCCGACGCTCCCGGCGATGAGCATGTGCCAGATACTGTGGATGTAGAAGTAGTTCTCCTCCGTCTCCACAAAGGCGTATAAGGCCACCGCTGATGTGGCAATGGTGGTGCCAGGGAACAGGAAAAAGACCCAGCGCTTCCAGGTTGGCGGGTAACAGCGGCGCCGGCGGATGGTGCGCACAGTCTGAAGAACAGAGAGCAGGAGACAAAGTCAGTTATGAATAAATCAAATGCATGAGAAATATGCATGAATTAATAAGACACACGGACCAACCGGGTCTTCGGGCACCAGTGGCACTTGTATCATCAAGTTCATCCATTGTGGTCATCTCAAAAACTTAAACTTCACCATTTAAGTACAGATAACTAGTTGCAGCAAATGATTAAGTATCACTGTTTTTACTTAAAACTAATATAAAAAACCTTATAATATAAAAGGATTAAAACTGAGATTATACTTCATGTAAAAGTATTATTCTGGGTCAGTTACTGAAAACACTTCTGGAAGCCCATTTCTGCAACTGCTTTGGTAAAACTTAACTGTGACATAAAAAGTCCTAATTATGACAAACAAGTCTAATTGAGATACGAAGTCATAATTATGAGGAAAAAAAGTTAAAATGATGAGCTAAAAAGAAAGTTTTTTTTTTTTACTTGTCATAACTGACATCTCAATTTCAACTTGTCATAATTGTGTCTTATGTCATAATTAGGATTCATAATGATTTCATAATTGTGGCTTTTTGTTTCATAATTTCGACTTTTCCATCAATTATGATTTTTTTATCTGTTTCGACTGTCATAATTTCAACTCGTCAACAACATTTTCTCATAATTCCGGCAATCATAATTTGGACTTTTTGTCAATAAATGTTTAGTTTCACATTGCTGTTAGTATTCACAATCAATCTTGACCTAATATTTCATTTGTATTTAATAAACCAAACACATTTGTAGTCAAACTTAACAGCCAGTATGGATTTTCACTTTATGGGGGGAAAAAAACAACTCAAGTTACGACTGACCAAAATAAGACTATGTTCTCTCAGTATTTAAAAGACTCTTTTTTACTTACAATAATAAGATACTAATTATAATAGAAGACACACGTTTTTGTTGTGGAAGTTGTACTCAAAATCCAGCTGACTCAGATATCTGAGCTGGCCCCATTAGATTTAATGCTCATGATGCTTCTGCAGACCCATAAAGATGCTCTGATATACACGAGCTGCTGCTATTAGAGCTGGATCCGAATGCACACAGTTATAAAGTTGGACATACAATTTACAGACTTCTTAGAAACTCAATTCTCCAGCTTGTAGGGATCCTGATATTTATGAAGACTGTAAAGCACGCTGTCCTCCCACACCTCACACCACTCCTACTAATGCCATTCCACGGTATTAATCAATCAGCTGAGTGTAGAGAAACACTGTTTAACAGATGCGTAACAGTACAGATTAACAGATGCAAACTGCGGTTAGAACTGGAGAGACTCTTTTGCGCAGTTGTCAACAAGCAGCAGCATCTAGTCTGCATCTAGTGTCCATCAGACTTGCTCTTCCACCTATAGATGTTCTCCGAGTCATTATTAACCTTCCACCTGTCCTGACAGTGTAGAGAGAATGAAATGCTGTGCTTTTCTCCCTGTCTGTCATGACATTTCAATTATAATGTTCCACTGGTTGACAACATGTAGACTAGAACTTTGCCCCAGGTTACAATTTTATAGCCACGGCATGAATTGTAACTGTGAAAAACTGTCCTGTGCAGCTGAGGGAATATACAATGGGAGCTCTAGCACACACTCAAAGCTGATGTTTAATATCCTATGACAGTATACCAAGCCACAGGATTGAAAGCAAGGGGCCGAAATGGCCGAGATACTTTAAATCTCACGATTTTACATTGTTACTGCTGTCAAGCATGTGCAGCAGTCAATCAAACACACACGCACTCTGGTGACTGCTGATGACTCAATCACATTTCTGCTGCATATAGGAAGGTCTGGGGCCTCCGAGACATTGCAAATCTCATATCCTCTCGGATTACTGATTCGACTCCAGCTTTTGTTGGCTTTCTGTGCAATTTCAAAACCGAAGTTACTAAAGTTTGTGAAACTTTATAACTGCTGAGGAATTCCATTTCTTGTCTTCTGTCACATTACAGTCGCATACTTCAGAAGATCCTTATCTGAAAATGTCCCGGAAAGCACTCACTGAATCCTTTCTTATGCCGATTGTGCAAGTTTATTGAATTTACTGCTCAAGCGTCCTCGACGGTTATTTTACATGCAGTTCTCTGTCAAAAATGCATTTGATGGATTTTTCTGATGACAATCCAAATGTGACTCAACCTTGTTTATGCCAACACACATTCATTTTATTAAAGCTTTGTCTTTGAAGATACTGAAGAGGCAGAAACATTCCCCAGATTTACTGTTCATTTGTTCTTTTTTACAGTGCTACAACTTATGTGTTTTACGCTAAATGAAAAAAAAAATATTTAATGCAATACACAAACAAATTTATTTTTTTATTATTATTATTATTATGGCATTAAAGGTCATCTCAGGTAGAAACAGACCCTTATACACACACACACACACACACACACACACCAAAGAAAGTTATTAAGGGTCAGCTCAGGTAGAAAAGGTCTCTTATGGCACATTTTACTTTAAATGCACAGCATATAAAAAATAAATAAAATAAAATAAATATTATTAAAATTACATCAAGTGTCAGCTCAAGTAGAAACATTTCTTTCTTTTTCTGCTATTTCTATCTGGGCTTACTCTTAAAAATAGTGTAAGTGCAATCACATTCATTCAATCATATTAAACAACATTTTTACCTAATAAAAAATAAATACAATAATTAATAATAATAACAAAAATCATTAATAAAAACAGTTCATTTAGACACATGTTTAGGTTAGATGACAAAATATGTTTTTTTACAGTGTATGCAAATATCAGTATCATTATGAGTTTATAATGGGTTCTACAGCTTAAACCACTATGAAAAAGAAACATCCTTTCCTTGTGTCAACATCTCCCCACGCATTAATCTCCAGGCACATAACAGGTGCATGTTGCAAAAGGACAGAATGGTTAATGGATGAGCTCTAAATGTGACACTTAGCTGATGGGCCTAGTCTGAACCAACACAACCTAAACTTCCCACACAACAACAAAACAAGGCTTCATATTGGTGTACATCATTGGTGTACTGTTTATTGATGAGGATTATTCTCAAAATGTACTTGACTCCCGTATGTTCCTTTTGACTCAATTAAATTGATTCTCATTTATATTTCACATTACAAGGCTGCTGTTTTGACAATGGAATCCAACCCCCACGGTCCTGACCACATCCTCATACAGCACAGGCTGCTCCTGAAATGAATCACACTTATTTAACCACCTCTGAGGACTACGCACTAATACATTCCAAAGAATTCATCAGTCAAAGCAGGATATTGATTGGATGTCGCATGAATCAATGATGCCTGGACACAAGCTGAAACATGGTGCTTCACACTTCAAATCTGGTTAGCATGCTTTTGGAGCACTGATATGCCACCATTTATGAAAGCAAAATGTATTACTAGCCCACAGACTACTTAGCGTAATTGTTTATGTTTTCAGCAGTTATTTATCATTTTGTCTGTGAGATGCTGCATCATGCATGAAGCTCAGTCAATATATTCACATCAGAGAATAGAAGCTTATTAACTAGATTCTAGTTAGCATGGTTCAGTTACAGTAGCCCTTATTGGTAGATGCCGTAATTATGCCATCTGGCCAAAAAGAGTAGCTATCTCCATTTAAGCCATTCAAAAATATATGTATTCTGAAAAAAACACAATTTATCCAAGCAACCTATAAATCATCACAGTTGTTATTGTTAAATAAAACTAAAACTGTTAAAGATCATTTTCTTTATTGAAATAAAGCCGGAATAAAATGAATATGAATATTAGATGGAAACATAAACTTAAAAAAAATTGAAATGTTGCCTTGGCAACTAACTGAAATGATCTAAGTTGAAGTGCTAAAGTTTTTACAACTAAAACTGAAATAAAAATACATTTAAGCTAAATGGAAATATAAAAAAACTAAATACAAAATGTCAAAAATAAAACAAAAATCAATCAAATTAAATATAAATTCTAATTAAAAATATTATTAAATACTACAATAATATATATACAAAATTCTACAAAATAGAAGTTTTACCCGTACCTGATTCTGTAGATTTTTAAAAGGATGAAATAGATCTCTATCAGCTTTTATATGTTCACAAGAAGTATGGAATCTTCTTTCTGCATCCAGAATAAAAAAAATTAATAAAAATGTGTGTAATTTGATACTTCATGCAGTATTACGGGCCTCCCAGACAGATTCCTTCAGTTAGTGGGGCAAATCATAAATATTTCATATTAATTTTACATCATATAATTTCTGTTTAAAATCTGTCAAAACACTTCCCAGATATTCAATATGTAATATATGTCATCGGGTTACAGTATATATAGTAGGTACTATTTCATAACATGTGTCAGAGAGTTTATAAAGTGTTAAGTTGTTGAAGCTCATAACAATAAACTGCATGAATCATGGATCAGTGTGTATGAAACAGAGCCATGGGAGGTCACCACGGAGAAGAAATAACTCTTGTGAAACATTACTGCTGATGACCACAGAAAGTTTGCAAAGACCTCCTCCAGGTTCCAAAGCATCACTGAAACAATGACATTTTATATTTGAGGAGAAAAAAGCCTTATCTCATATGTGAAGCATGGGGAAGTCTAATGAAATTTGTCAGCTTTGCTGCATCAGGGCCTGGCTGCACTAAAGTTGTATCAGAAAATGCCACACCAGAAGGTGTTTTGCGTTTGACCCTGAATCTGAAACTCAGAAGGATCACGCAAGATGACAATGGTTCAAAAGTAGCTGTATATCCACATCAAATACATTCTTATTATGGCTTTAGTCAGAATGCTGACCTCCAATACACTGCTGTGCCAAATCAATTAAAATTAAACAATTAACAACTAAAACACCAGTTAAAATACCAAACTGCTATGAGTGGTATGATCACAACACGAAGATTTACAGAAAACGTTCTGACATGGATCACATTTTAGAACTGTTCATTCAGAAATGGAGAGATTTCCAAAGGTTTCTCATCCTTCCCCTCACAATGCCATATCATGTGCCTTTATTACTTTGTAGGCACTATCTCAAGCATTATTCTACTGTAAAAATAAAATGTGTATTCCTCTAGCAGGTGTAATTTGATTTTAAGTGTTAGAATTCAAACTGTGTCTGTTATTGGATATAACAAATGAAACTCAAACCTCACTGTAAGGGTGAGAGAGAGAAGACCCATCCAGACAATATGTTTCTCTTTCTCTCCGTCTATGAATTTAGTCTCTTTAGAGAGCAACAGGAGTGTTCTGGAAGTAAAAATCCCATTCATTTTCCAAATAAATTTATTTTTAACAATAACAAACCATTCAAGAAGATGGACCTACAATGAATTCAGATTTTTTTTTCTCAGAGATTTTTATCTTTTTTATTTTTATGTTCTTCATTCAAATGAATTAAATTAAAATGAAAAAATAATAACAGATGAACATTGATAAAAAAAAATTTTTTTGTAACAATTAGTATGATATAATGTTGTTGGTTATGAATGCAAGAACATTTCAATATGAATGCAAGAACATTTCAGCCTATTCAGGTATTTAGTCTGTAGTGCTTATATTAAAATATATATTTTAGTTAATAAGATTAACTAAAATTTTAACACTATTCTTTTGCTTCAGCAGTTGTCATAAATGTGTTAACTTGCGTCAAAAACACGTTTGAGTGTAGCAAATATGTAACCTCCCAACCAAAATAACAAAACGTGTCTTTAATTCAGTTCAGATGTGATTTTCCTCATTCTGTTCTGTTAGAAGCATTGTTAGTGCCTTCAGATGTGAGTTTAGGTCAAGGGATGAAGAAAAGATCTCTGCTTGTTGAACATCTGCTATCCTCTGTCATTATTTCTCTCTCACACAATACGGTATATCTTTGTAGCTGCAGTAGTAGTTCGCTGGCTCCTCTTCTCTCTGCATATATATCCACCAGCACATTCGACTCAAGGGAGGACGTGCTTCTCTTACTCAACTATTATTTGCCAGAGGCTCTGGCAAAGACTCTTCCTTGTCCAACACCCATTATTTTTTTATCATCTCACTTCAGGAAAGCAGTGTGGTCGCATGAGGAATTAGCATAAAGTACAAGCTGCCCGGTAATACTGACAGAACAGAGAAACTTTTAATGTCACACCATGCTAATGCGCAGATAAATGCAGCCTTGAATGTGGGGACACATGCTGGACCAGGTAACGCGAAATGCCTTCATAAATTATAGATATTGAAAAGGTGCTTTGTTGTCACTTAATAGTCAAAGAAAAAATAGCGCTGGCATTTAACTACCGGATCCATCAGACTGAAAGAACAAGTTTATTTTTGGACACACAGGCACATTGCCTTATAATATGATGTTTTTATTACATTTACAAACAATCATACAAATTATGTTATCCACATGCAAAGCTGAAAATGTTTGCTTTTCCCATTGAAAAAAAAAATTGGTTTGCTGGTCTGTTGGGTGGTTTTTAAAAGGATTTTGGGCCTAGTCAGGCTGAGAGACCAACTGATTGTCCAGCTAATCTAGTTAAATATATTTTGGCAAAGCTTTGAGACCAAACTGGACCAGCTCAAGACAAGCTTAAACCAGCTAGGACCTGCTTAAACCAGCTGGGAGAACGCCTGGCTGTCTAGCTCAACCAGCTAAATAACTGCTTGGCTAGGCTGGAGAGTCCGCTAAGCCAGCTGAAGATAAACTTAAATCAGTTAAGACAGGCCTAAACCAGCTGGAAGACCAACTAGCTGTCCAGTTAAATTATCTAAAATCCTGCTTAGCTAGGCTGGAGAGAAACCTAAACCAGCTAAGGCATTGGTAAACCAGCTAGAAGATTAACTGACAGCTTAAAACCTGCTTGGCCAAGCTGGAAGACCGACTAGACCAGCTAAGACCAACATAAACCATACTATTAAAGACTAGCACACCAGCATTTGCTGGTTTACGCCAGTAGTTTCAGTAGGTGTAGGTAACATAATCACCACAACTCCAACATCTGTTCATTTTTATGCTCTGAGCCATGTCTAGTATAACTGAAATCCATTCTGGCATATTCTATTGATATATTAAACATATAATAAGGATGCATTACAGTCTTAAACACATGGAATCTATGCATGTTCATAAAAATACTTACCCAGGCGATGGCCATGATGCCTAAAGCAAAAAGACTGGGGCCCAGAAGGTTCCACAGGCCATGGCGGTCCAGCTGTAAGGCCATTGACAGAGCCATCGCCCCCAGCAAGTACAGCACCTGGTAGGAGAGCGGCAAAGAGGAAAAATATTAGTCCAAACATCGAAAACCCATCATGTCTAGAGGTGATCCCCAGTCCAATTAGGACCATCTTGCATTGGCCACCCTCTGTCAGACAGACTGTAAGTAAAGAGAGGTGGTGCTAAAAATGTTTCTCTCACTCTCTTTCCTTCCTTCCTAAAGTTCAGAACTGTTGTGACATGAGTGATTTGATTAGTGTCTGCAAACTGCAGCACTCAGCAAAACACATTCACAGGCATGCACAGGCAATCACCTAAAGCATATAGATGCATTCTCCCTAGAGGAGAGCTTTTGTTCTTGTTCTCTCCATTAGACGCTTCCATCACAAACAGTAGTCCTCTCACTCTCTGATTCTAAATGACTCAAACATGAAGTTAATCACATTCTTACTGTCTTTCTCCCTGTGCTCCTTTCCTTAAAGCTCACTCTTTCCCTCTGCAGTTGAGCAGCTGAAGACTGAACTACAGAGAGTGTGCACATACACACACCTGAAAGTGTCCACCTATATTTCCTCAGCTCCACAGCGAAATGTCACCATCATTATGACAGCACACGACAGCCTGCTGACATTCGTATATTTACACTTTACTGAGGTGGACAAAATTTCTGCTCTCTTGCACATCTTGGAAAGCTCTTTTCTTGGCAATAAAGTCCATGAAAAACTACTAGCCTCTATGAATCACACAAAATTAATTTATAGAAATTGATGACACAAGAAATATCCAGCATTTCTGGGCCCCAGGGCCTTCATTTGTAATTTTAACTATCAGATTCTGGTTCTTATATACAGTGGCCCTAAAAAGACAATTTTAGTCATATACACTCCTTTTCAAATGTTTGAGGTCAGTAAGATTTTTAATGCTTTTTAAAGGAATCTCTTATGCTCATCAAGGCTGCATTTTAAAATTAAAATATACCGTAAAAGCAGTAATATTGTGAAATATTATTGCAATTTAAAAAAAAATCTATTTTAATATACTTTAAAATGTAATTTATTCTTGTGATTGAAAAGCTGAATTTTCAGCAGCCTTTACTTCAGTCTCATCTGATTGCTCAGAAATGATTCTAATATGCTGATTTGGTGCTCAAGAAATATTTCTTATTATTATCATCAATGTTGCTATATATATATTTTTTGTTGTTGTTGTTTTTTATTTATTTTTTTATTTTTTTATCTTGAAACTGTGATACAATTTTTTTCAGGATTCTTTAATGAATAGAAAGTTCAAAAGAACAGTATTTATTTAAAATAATTTATGACATTAATTCTTTACTGTCACCCTTTTTATATATAAATTGAGTGCATTCTTGCTGAACAAAAGATTATTTTAATTTAAATGAATTGCTTTAAAAACCATACTGACCCCAAACGTTTGAATGGTAGTGTAAATTTCAACTTGGTTAGATTTTTTCTTTTTCTTTATTCAATGCAAACACACATGTTTTGAGCTCACTAAATATTAGCCACACTTTGGAAGCACAGAGTGAAAAACCACAAGGTTTATGGAAATTGAATGTGCTTTGAGTTTTGCATCTGAGTGATTTTTACCTGCTTGATAATGGATTTGAGTCTGGCCATGGCGATGACAGTGACCCATACAGACATGAGCGAGCCGAGGAAGTCACAGAACTGCAGCACGTCGTACTCCATGATGCAGAAGACCACAATGCCTGGCTGGTCACAGGCATGATAAAACTGTTCAGGGGTAAAAGAAGAAAACAAAAGGTCAGAGGAAGCATAAATAAAATATGACACTCTGACATGTCATTTGTTCTTGCCACTGATATGCTGAATTAGGACTCATGAATGGTTTGTGAGATAGTCAGCAGGTCTTCAAGCACCTATTGCATTAATTAGACATATTTGTTCGATACAGGAACAAAACAGAATGCAAATCTAATATAAAATGTAAAGAATACAACAGTTCTTTAATCTGACTGGTCCGTTAATTTAATGTACAAGTTACAATCGCTTTGAACATACCTCATTCAGTCAGAATTTAGAGTTGGGATTATTCCTTTTTATTATTTTTGAAGCTGTACATTTCTTTATTTCATTTTAGGTGATTCATGAAGACAGAGGAATATTACCTGTTAATGTCAACATGCAACCAGCAACTGAAATATTTATGCTAGCCCCATTTTGGGTATATGTTTTTGATAGGTCTTTAAACTTACAGTGGAAAAGAACATGGTGAATATATAGACAGACGCCTCCAGCAGGTAATGACTGCGGATGGCGATGGTCACAGGTGGGACGAACATCAGGTTGCTGAGGCACAGAAGAAGAGTTGAGAGCAGCTGGAAGCCGTATGAGTACGCCTCTGTGTTGTCCGTGCAGCCCCAGCCATCCCAACCTAGAAAAGCACACATGCGTTACTGACCAAAATGTTCCTAATGGTCCTGACTCAAAATGCATGTTTTAAACATGTATCTGGAATGCTTCAGTCCCAGTTCACTGTAATTACATGGAAAAGAATGTGGAAAGCATGTCTTCAAAGCTTATATTATGTTCTGCATAAGAAAGAAATTCGTACAAGTTTGAAATGACATGAAGGTGAGTAAATGACAGAATTTTCATTTTTGGATGCACCATCCCTTTGAAAGTAGGTACACTGCTATTCAAAGGTGTGGGGTCAGTAAGGTTTTTTTAAAGTAAGGACTCGTTAAATTGATCAAAAGTGGTTAAAAAATGATTTATATTTCAAGCAAATGCTGTTCATTTGAACTTACATTTCATTAAAGAATCCTGGAGAAAAAAAAACATGCATTATGCACAACTGTTTTCAGCATTGATAATAATAACAAAGGTTTCTTGAGCAGCAAATTGGCATATTAGAATGATTTCTGAAGGATCATGTGCATTGAAGACTGGAGTAATGACTGTTGAAAATTCAGCTTTGCCATCAAAGGAATAAATTACATTTTAATATATATTCAAACAGAAAACAGTTATTTTAAATGGCAATAATATTTCATAGTATTACTGGTTTTACTGTATTGCTTCTTCAGTGAGCATTAGAAACTTCTCAAAAAATTTTTTTTTTAAAAGGTAGTGTATGTAAAATATACCACTGTCCGTATCCGCAAAGCAAAGTAAGCAAGCGAAAAACAAATAAAACACACACATTGGCAATGCATGTAAAACGAACAAAAGACAGGGGAAAAAACATCACAGAAATACATATGTACTTTCTTCCTCGTTCACACACACATTCTGTTCCTCATCTGTCAGCTGTTGTAAACAGCTTCATAAATATAGATTGGATTCGGGCAGCCTACTGTTATATAAACACCATGAAGGAAATAGATGTACTGCCCCTCTAACCTCTCATAGAAAATGCCACAAAACATACCACAAATCTCTCTGATTACGAAGCCTTAATTAGTCAAACCACAAACAAAAATCCTCAAAGGCATGTAGTGATTGAAGTCTTGCTGAGTGTCGACAAAGACGGTCAATTGAGCTTTACCAGACACTCGAGAACAGAGAAGAGCTTTGCATGCGTGCTGTATCAGAGCACTCAGCTGTTTGCCAGAAAACATTCATTAAAAGGGTAAATTTGTCTATGCTAATGACAAAAGAAAGTATGGGTAGGAATCCAGGGGGAGAGGGGAAACGAGGCACCAGAGCTTTATAATGGCGCTGTAATTGAGAGGTTGTGATTAGCATATTTCCCAGGATCGTCAAATGTCCTCTAATTAAAAACCACTTGATTTGTGATCTCATAGTTATAGAGCGACATGATTGGCACATGTGTAATTGAACCATTCAACATGTCAATTAACTTTGATTGGCATCTGACAGTAGAGAAGAAAAATAATAACTGGAATTATAAAATATTACTGTGATTATCATCATATTAACCACAAGGGTGAGAACACCCTGGGGAGGGGGATAGGCTTGTTCACTTAGTTAAAAGACACAGAATTTGCTTCATTTTCCTGAAATTACTTTTCCTCAGCAAGAATACATATAATTACTCAAAAGTGACAATAAAAACATCTATAATGTTACAAAATATTTCTATTGAAAATAAATAGAACAATTAAATATACTGTAACTTTTCAACTTTCTATTTATCAAATAATCTCATTACAACTGTTTTCAAGGCTAATAATAAGAAGCAATGTTTCTTAAACACTAAATCAGCATATTAGAATGATCTCTGGAGGATTGGAGTAACGGCTGCTGACAATTCAGCCTAGAATAAATTACATTTTTAAAAATAATGAAAAAATAAACAAATAATTTAATTGTAATGATATTTTACAGTACTTCTGATCAAATAAATGCAGCCTTGGTGAGCATGAGAAACTTTTTAAAAACAAGAAAACCCCTTACCAACCCCAAACTTTAGAACTTTAATGTAAAATTACTGCACAATGCAGGCAAAAGATAGAGATAAAAATATATAAATATATATGCACAATATATTAGATTTTTTATTTTATTCTATTAACAAACCATTATACTTTTGCCTCAGTAAACTCCTAATTTGCTGCTTATTAATATTTAGTAAGGTAGTTGTTAAGTTTATGTGTCGGGATTAGAAATGCAGAATATGGTCATGTAGAACAAGTGCTTTATAAGTACTAATAAACAGCCAATATGTTAATAATAGGTATGCAAATAAACAACTAATTAATAGTGAGAATTTGTCCCTATACTAAAGTGTTACCGATTTTTTTATCTTGACCAAAATATCACCAGGCTTTCCTGATTTCCAGGCATAAACATTATCTAGTACAGTGTTTCCCAACCGGGGTGCCGTCTGTCAAGAGCAGGGGTGCCGTGTAAAAAAAATCCTTTTTTAATATTTTTAAATGTCTAAAATGTTCAAAAAAGCAGCTATTATATAATATCCACTTCTGATGCATTATTTGGATAATTGGTAAAAAAAAAAAATCTCTTAATAGCCCGACCTGAAAAACTAAAAAGCCATTTATTTCATTTGTAGGCCTTTTGTTATTTTTTTATTTGTGCTATCATTAGTCATTTCTTTATTTGTTCTTATTTTATTAATAACTGCTTAGCCTACTTGTCATTTTTTATTCAATTCAAAGTTTTAAATCAAGCTATCTCGTGCTACTGCAACAAAATTACCCAACTGTAAAATCAAAAATACACTGATTGAGCAAAACTTTGTTTAATTACCATTATAACTAGCTATCTCACAATGTTTACATATGAATAAAAGCCTACATTAAAATCTGTCATATAAATTGGTCTTTTCATTAGAAATTAGCCTTCTGATTGCCACCATTGATGGACAATTTGTTTTTATAATATAAAAAATATCTGTATGACAGTATATTCTGCCGTTCTTCCCTGCTGTACCGAATATCTTTACTTTTCAAAGTATCATATCGAAGTTAGAAATTCAAATATTGTGACAAAATTAATTTTGTAGGGTGCCACAAATTTGTTAAAATTTCCAAAGGGTGCCGCGACTAAAGAAAGGTTGGGAAACACTGATCTAGTATATGTGAACTGATTCTTAAATTCCTCTGCCTTTAAAACCTAGAATGTAAATTAACACTATGAAACAGTCAATTTATTACACACACCAGAAAATTCAAAGACAATGCATTTAATTGTTCTTCTCAAAATTATGAGTCATTTACAACAATGGTTTTACATAAGAGAACACATGGGTTAAGAAAGGTTTTGAGTGCTCACCTGCTTTACACTCGCATGCAGCATACAGGTAGTTGTTGGTGCGCAGGAGTTTGCACTGGCCATAGGTGCCACAGTCATTGATGCAGGGGGTCAGGTAAGAGCGAAGATACACCTCAGCTGTCACATTATTACACATTTCAAACCTATACAAGAACATGGAGATGATAAGAAAGAAGTGAAAAGTGGAATTTTAGGAAATTATGCTTTTAGGAAAACTACCAAGAATGAACAGTGTGAAATTTCTTTGAACATTCTGTGAATTCTAAGAATACATGCAGTTACAATAAATGGGGATTGAAGCTTTTAGGGTTGCAAAAGCTTTCAAGCTTTGTGTGAGAAACAGCCCAAAATTAGAGATATTATCTTGTGTGTTTCTGACACACAGCTACAGTATGGCTTCACAAGAATTATAGTTCACAAGTCGCACAGATCATTTTTTATGATATTTTTATTGTGCTTTTGTGTTCTGTTCTTGAGGTAGAACTCCTCAGTCCCATTCATTGTACTTTCATAGAAAATACAAAGCAGCACAGTCTTGTAAATAACTCATTTTGTGTTCAGTGGAAGAGAGAAAAAGTCACACAAACAACATGAGGGTGAGTAAATGATAATTCCGATGATTCGGATGAACTATTCCTTTAAGATAATATGGGATGTAAATATGTGAAAGTTACAGTAAAACTGTTTCAAAATGATCTCACATTCAAAGGCAAGCAGATATGCTATAATCTCTATGGTAGTGAGAAAATATTGAACATACTGTACAGCCTCTTTGTGCAATTTTAAATGAAGATATCAAGTTAACATGAACTCTCACTGTCAGATTTCATTGTCATTTTGAATCAGATAAAGTAAGGTTATGAGAGTCTAGGTCAACATAAAAGTGTATTTAGGAATTGTTTTACAAGTACTGTATTTCAGAGCAGCAAATAGGAAACATCCCACAGTTCACATGCTGCTACTACTGCACTTGGTAAATGTTGAAGAAGGTAAATATATGGAGTGCTAGGAATATTTTCCATCTTTTTCTCAGCAACTACAGTCTGATAATTTAGTGCAGAAACACAAACAGAAAGAAATGCAAATGTGTTCACCCGTGTTCAGTGGCACACAGGGACCGCAGGCTCAGATACCACGTGCCAGTCTGTGGGTAGGGAATCCTCAGCTTGGTGATATTTGTGGTGGTGTTAATGGAGAGATGAAATCCTGAAACTGACTCTGATAAAGAAAGAGCACAAATGGGTAAAGGACAAGAAAACCTAGTGCCACCATTTGCTGTGACTGAACTGAGCGTTCTAAAGAAAATCATCTGAGTGATGTGCTCAACCATAAAATGGACCATAAAAGAAAATTCATGTGGTAGAAGCACGTTTACCACATCTCACCTGCAACCATGAGATGCTATTTATGTTGCATTTGCATAGAAATGGCCACATATTTCTTTGTCTCAACTGAATTGTTTCCAAAAAAGGCACTTCATTGTTTTTATTGCCATGATTTTGGATCAGTGCCCTAGGGAACTTGAGTTGTCTTCATGAACATTACAGCAAAGGGCAATGGCCCAAAGCAGTTTAAAAGACAATCAGAAATAAATGTAAACATTGTCTGTCCACTGCAAAAACATATGGCAACAGTTTTTCAACACAGTTTTTCATCAAAACACATGACACTAAAATAGTGTCATGAACATTAGCAAAACACTATGGTACATAATTAATAACAAACATATAAAAAAACTACTTTAATAGAATCTAATCAAATTTGATGTATTCACAATATTTTTTTCACTATAAATTATAAGGTAAAAAAAATAATAAGAGGTACTGTAAGTAGATATGTTTTACTTATAATGTAATGTAATGTAGTATAATATATCAATATCAATATATTTACTAATTTAATAATTTTTCACTGTATACTATATGGTAAGATAACTTGCAATTAGCCTATTACTATTATTTATTTTTTAATAGTAAAAAATTAAAATAAATTGCTATTTTATTTTAGCATTCCTTTTTTATTATTAAAATTGCAAACAATATTACAAAATGTGATGGTGAAGATACTGTACAAACTGCATATGGCCTAAAGAGATTCATCTTAGACTAAATCATAGACTGTCCTACCAGATTCACATGAGACTGACGTGTTGTTGTGAAGGGACAGCGGCATCCCATGATTCAGGCAGCCAAAGATCGTAATATTCTCTCCTCTCACTGAAGACTGGAGGGGGAAAAAAGACAAAATAGGTTTGAATCCTGTTAAAGATAAGTGAAATTATCAAAGTAAATTATCAAGTTACTTTAGTGGGTGACACAAAGCAGGTCAAACGAGGGTTTGGCAGGCAAAGGAGAAGGCTGTAATATAACTGTTCGAGATGTGATAATTTCGTAGGAATATCAAAGGAAAAGAGGTTCTTTGTAGCTGAGCGAAAGGCCAATCATCTCCCACTGCAAGCCCCCTATCCTCAGACGTCTGAAAATAAAGATGTTCGCCCTTGCCTTTCACCCCATTCGTAAATAATACAGAGAGGCCTGATGAATAATAAGCAAATCCAGGACATGAGGCAAATTAGTGATCTCTCTCACATGCACAAATTGTGGGGGAGAGAGAGAGAACGGAAAAATAACACTTTGAAGCAAAGTATCATGTTCTTTGACTAATCAGAGTTATTCATGACATTTTATGACAGCAAGTAGTCGGACAGGCATGATATAGGTTAATAATTCAATGACATGTCATGTTCTATGTGCCATCTCAACCCCAAATAAACCACATACATGCCCTCCGAGGGCTCCAAAAAGTCAACCTTTAATCTCTAATCTGGACCTCAAGAAATAATAGTGCTCAAGAGTCTGAACTTTTAAAATGCATTAAGGAGTGATCCTAAGTTTATAGCAAGTGCAATGTAACAGCTGTGTTCATATTTAAAGGTGAAGTGTATCATTTCAGAGTTCATCAAACAGAACTGAACTTGTAGAAACAGGCAGGTGGTATTTATTTATTTATGTAGTTTGAGTGACGAATGATGCTCAAGCGTAGTTCAGGCAGACCACAGTCTGACAGCCAGCATCAGCTGATGCTCAGCTGATTGTAACTCCTCCCACTACAATTAAATAAGATATATAAATTCAGCCGTACTCACACTTGCCTTAATCTGTCTCCTCGTGCTTAATAAACCACTATTTCACAAATTAAGCCTGGTGAATCTTGGCATTGTCATCGTGGAATATGTACATGTGTGCATCTTCTGACATGGTTGGTTTTTTTAAGTAAAAATCTACGCACTGCATCAGTTAGAGTTAAAACAATTGTTGCAAAACATACAATGTGCCAGAAACATGTTAATAATCCAATCCTAAACTCTTCAGTATTTGCTTATTTAAATCTAAATGGCAACTTTTTTTGGCCAGGCAGTGTATATACAGTACTATAGTACAGTATATATAAACAAACATTATTTATACATATTATAATATAATAAATTCATACAAAATAACCATACCCTGAGAATTTCTGTTTTACCCTCAGAATTTATTCACATTTGTAAAATCTAGTCTGTCTGTTTTAGCAAGCTTTAGTCATCCATCATTGTAAATCTATAGCACTGTCTCTTCCTGTATAAGACCTGACAGCTGTAGAAAATAGACAATAAAGAAGAAGAGCCACTGTCTGTGACATAGGAATGTCTGTCATGTAATCTAAATGAACCAAGAGAATCTCAACCACAGGCTTTTATCGAGCCAGTGTTTTTAGTAATCAGTACAACAGCAACTGAAATTTCCCGGCTTCTCTTTTACTCGATATTCAGCGTGGAGTGCTTTAATGTCAATGCTGTGCCAAGCACCTGTGTTGAGCTGGCCTCAGACCAGACCCCAATCAGGGATGTAAGTTTTTAACAATGATGGATGACCAGCTGGGTTCACTCAGGGCAGCTCTTGGCTGTCATTTAAGATGGTTTAAAAATTATCAGCCCACAAATGTTTCCTCCATGCATTTCAAAACTGTAGTGACCACAAAATGGTTGACACGTCTGCTGTCAAATGTAAAAGCCGCATCAACCACAGTATTGGCATTCATTAGATAGGGCAACACCTGATGAGTGGAAAGAATTGATTGCAACAGTAGGAGAAGCAATGATGAGCAGTATCTGCTGTTAAGAATGAATATTATGCCAACAACTGGGATAGAATAAATTTTTTAAATTCATTAGAATGTTTGTGGCCTTTTGGAAACATACTTGGCAAAGGGAGCAATGAAAGACAACTTCACTTCCTTTTTATCTTGACCCAGAATGCAAGCTGACTACATAAGTTGTAATGAAACGGAAATAGCGACAAATCTTTGGTTTTGTGTTATGACGTTTATGCAAGTGAAACGGATAATCAAAAAAGGATTTTCTTTCTCCTGAAAATGTTAATGAATGTTATCGCAATGGACTAAGATTCACTGACTTCGTTCACACAGGGTATAATTACTTCCCCTGTAAAAATTTATAATTTTTGTAATTTTTAAAAAATTGTATTCAACCTTGTTACATTTGTGGTGTTCCCGGTCAAAAATAACCGGCCTACAGAAAATAGCTTATAAATCTCATGTTGTGCTATATTATCACCAAATATGGGATTTAATCTTTTTGCCAACTTGTTTTCTTTCAATTAGGACTGGTTTTGTATTTATTTTTGGAACTGATTGATCATAGGCATCATTAATCTAAGCTTACGTACCTCAGTTTCTGAGTGAAAAAAGCATTACTTGTGGATAATTTTGTCAATCTTAAATAAAATATGAAAAACGTTGCACTGATAGTATTAGAGTTTCACTCTAATTCATTAGAGGCCTACAGATTAAGCTCAGATTAATGAGGCCTACAACCAATATAACCAACAAATAAATACGAAATCAGTCCTAACTGAAAGGAAACAAGTTGACAAAAGATGGAAACCAAAATTTGGTGATAATATAGCATAGCAAGCGATTTACAAGCAATTTTAAAAGGATGATCATTGACACCAAGTGTTATAGGGATTTGAACAAGACACAAGGGTTAAAAAGGCTTGATTTATTCAGTAACGAAACACTACTAATGCATTTTGCTAGTAGACATGCAACAGCTATGCTGTGACTTTGTTTGGGACTGTTTTCATTGGCAGAACAAAAACAGACACAGTAACTGGCAATATTGGGTCTAAAATGTAAGTTACTCAATATTTAATTTCCTGTTTATTGAACTGCTGTATAAAGACAGTATCACAATCACAATCGTGTTGTTTTCAGAACTCTTGTGATAATGTTTAATTATCAATAAAACTATGCAAAGCATCAATATAAACATAAAATTAAGTAGCACATTTTATTTAATTGACTATGCTTAAACACTGGCCCAACTGAAAGCATTTATGCTGCCAGAGTAAAAGGGCTGAATTACATCTAATTTAGGGAAGCACAGAGAGCTTAATAAATTGAAGAACAAGGAAAGAAGAATGACACCCAGATAGGAGGAAAATCGAGGTTAATCAGATAAAAAACACTCTGTGTCTCTGCTCTCCTTTAAAGCTGATGGGGTCCAGTTATTTAGATCGGTTTCAGATCTTTTCATGTGACAGTACTCTGAACTTTTTTTAACTTTTCATCTTTAGTCAATGGAGTATAAGAAGAAAAAAAGTATTTTAACTGCAAAGTCTTTCAACTGCAGTGCCATTAGAATCAGGCTGGCTTCCCAAAGCACTAAGAAAGATGTTAGTTGCACATAAGTACTTAATCTCTATGGCAAGTATCCCAATAGCATTGTTATCTAAGCAGTGCGAGGAAATGTAAATTGATAAGAGCCTCTGACTACTCGTAACCCATTACATGAACTTGGAACTTTTCCACTTACTTTTGCAGTTTATATGGGAAAAGGGACACATAATAAACACTACTAATGCATCTTTATTATTGCAAAGCTATTGTACAATATAATCAAGAATTTTTAAAAAAGTGTTGGTTAAAAAATGGCTTTTTAAAGCAATACTTCACAGTCTGGATGTCGCAGGTTGAATTTTTTCAGGATATACATTTGCATAGGCCCAATCTGATAAGCATAACTAACCTATTTGAAATAGAGGGATAAATTATAAATTATTATTAACAACAACAACAACAATTTAATTTAATTTAAAACATGAGACTTGAGGCAGCATCTCCTAAATGAGCACACACACACACACACACATAAAGTACAACCTTCATATTAAGTGTCCAACATGTTACTTAATCAGTCTACATGCTGGTTGTCATTCTACTGTAAAATAAGAAGTTAAGATAATCTTCAAATGTTAATTTGCAACATTATCTGTATGTCTTGCAGCAATTGATTTTTCCTGTACTGAAATTATATCCAATTCACTTTCTGTTTGAAATATGATAGTCCTGCTTACTAATTACAAATATGTTATTCTGTTTATCCTGCCAAGGCTGACATTTTTTGTTTGTCAGGCTTTGTTTTAAAAGGTCTTGTGAGGGACCTGGTACATTCGCAGGCTGCCTTCAGACTTGAAGTACGTAATTACCTTGGGAGCAACAAGCACTTGGTTCCAGCAGAAATCACTTAAGACCTAATGGCAGGCCTGAGTCCGACTTGACCTCAAACTGTCCATGAGAGCCACTCAGAGCAGCTGAAGGGGGGAACAATTCTACACACACCCTCACAGATACACAGACTCACCTTCATGAAGGGTGGGCTTCCTCACACACAAACACACACACACACACACTTCTCCTGTCCTTTGGCCTGTACTGCAGCTCATTAGCCCAACACACTGGCTCAGCTCTCACCTCTTGGCTTTCTGTCAGGTGTACATGTCTGCTGGAGGACAAACTCATGAGCTGAATGGACTCTGTGTATGTGTGTATGTCAGAAAAGCTGCCAAAACAGCGGGCTAAACCAATTACAATTAAGCAAGTCCAAAAATTCAGAGAGGTTAAAAAGGCTATTTAAGCTAATTACCATTAAAAAGTATGGGGTCAGTAAATCAGTAATTGATCAAATGGGAAAAAAATTAATCTATAAAAAAAAGAAAGAAACTTTCTATTCATCAAAGTACACTGAAAAATGCCACTGTTTCAACAAAAATATTAAGCAGCACAACTGTTTTCAACACTGATAATAATACATGTTTCTTGAGCACCAAGCAGCATATTAGTCTTTTTCTTTTATTTTTACACTGAAGACTGGAGTGATG